TAGCGTTATCCTAAGAAGACTTTTTTTTTTTTATATTAATTATTCTTTTTTTTCTATCATTTTATTATTTAGATTTTTTATCTTTTTTCTTTTTCTTTCTTTTATTTAAATATCTAATACTATCTTATTAATAATAACTAACCTCTTTCTTATATTACCCTCCCTTTATCCTATTCTCCCCTCGGCAATTGCCATTATAGCTGCCTACTATGCCGCGTTGACCTGGTCACCTTGCCGTGGTCTTCGTGATACCCTCATGTGCTAGCCCCATCTCGACCTTAGTAACTTTAAGAGCGAAAAGGCGCTTTAGCTTAGTAGTTAGAGCGATCCCTCTAACTCAGGGATTAACCTGCCTTCGAGTCTCTAAAGTATCTCGCTAGCCTCAGAGAGCTTCTTTTTGCTATTATAATCCTATTACTTTTGCCTACCCTAGACCATTATATCCTTCTCCTTTTCTTCTTTTCCTCTACTTCTTTCCTTTAGACTCCCTCTTATATAATTTCTTATATAGTCAAAGCCAGCTATCATCACAAAGTCTTATTCGTATATATAGTTAGGTACCGTTGAGTATTGCGTGGATAATCTGCCCACTATGGAAGCCGGCTCCCATAGGCAAACGCCCTCCCTCCCTTATACCTTTTTCTCTCTAATCACTATTATCATGCTAGATAAAACTAGCCTAGATAGATACATAGATGCCCGAATTATATTTCTTACCTAGCACTTAGTTCACTTATATATATCTCGTTACCTCTTAGTCTTATACCTCGTCCTCGTATGCCTCTCTATCGTATATCCCTTAGTCGCATACCTCTCTATTAGCATATTATCTATAGAAACTTCTCCTCTTCTTCTTCTTTCCTTCTCTTATATCCTTCGTCGTTACCTCTCCCGGACCTACCCGAGTTAATACTAATAAGTCTAACGACGGCATATTCCACACGCCTCTACAATCGATCGCCTCTATCCATCCAGCCTAGAACTCTATTAATAGGTAATTCCTTCCTATCTCCTCTATGCCTTTATCTATATCCATATCGGCTTTACCCCCGCCGCCGGGCCTATTAAAATCCCCTTCCTTTTATCCCTTACCTCCCGCATATAATTAGATTACTACTAGTACTATGACTATAAGCCGACCACTAAATATAACTCTATTCTCGCTATCTTTGATTTATTATCTAATTTGCCTACCTTTTATTACTTACTACTCTAGAAAGTTCTATAATTACTACTACTCCTATTCGCTAGCCATATAGTTATATCGCTTATATCTCTAATAATAATCGTCCTATTCCTAATCGGAGTATATATAAGAAGATCCCCTATCACCCACGCTAATAGCGGCAGTTAATCCTACTACATAGGCTACTAAAGTGACCGACGCAGTTCCAGCGCTAATTGCCCCCCCCGATCCCGCCATAGCCCAGTCGCCCATGCATAGGCTCAGCTCTAGAGTATAGCTCTTACCCGCCTTTACGAATACAGATTCTCCCCTCACCCATATATTATCATACGCTATAACCCCAGACCTATATCCGCCGAGGTAGATATAACTCCTTCTTCTTCTAGGCCCTCCACTTAACTCGATAGTAATATAATCTAGGTTAGAAACATTCTAGCTAGTCGTACTATCCATATTAAATTCATGCGGTCTACCCCTATATAACTATATATTAGAATAATATAAGATATATAAATATATAAGAAAATTATTACCTACCTTATAAGCACCTACGCGCTACCTAGACAGTAGGTAAGAAGATAGCTAAAGTGCTTACTTAGTGCTTTTAGCGTCTCTATAGGCACCTAAAGGATATTAGCATCGTTAGTAAGCTTCTATACCGCAGCGTTCTGCTATCGAACCCGAATGCCGCCGATCTCGCTATTATAGGCATTAGCTACGAGATTATATAGGTATAATATGATAATAGATAATATAATGGTTATCTAGAGAAGGGGGGAGGGGGTAAGGATAAGGGCAAGGGCAAGGCAGAAGTCTAGCGCTATAAATACTACGCCGTTTAGGGTTTAGTAAGAAGGGAATAAGAGAGTAGAGAGGTAAGGTAAATAAAAGTAAAAGGGTAAGAGAGTAATAGAAACCTAGCGTTATATAGGAGGTAATAAGGATAGTAAAGAGTAATCTACTTAAGTCTTATAGGCGGTCTAGGCTGCTTTATAAATAATTAGATACGCCGTAATACGGGCTAGCCCATAACCCGCTACTCTCTTATTATTCCTAGCAGACGATATCGGCTAGAGTTGCTAATGCTTATCCCAGGGAGTCGAGTTAGCCTCTCTGCCGAGCTAACCCTAGGATCCTTACTTACCCCAAGGCCATCATAGTAGATCCGGTATATATTCCGGCGGCTATATAGACCTAAAATATGCTATATTACCTCCGCCCCCTTTTTGGGGGGGTGGCGGCTCTATTGCGACTAGGCCAACCTAGGGCGCGGCCGGGAGGGACAGGCTTGTTCTAGGAACCAACCAATATAACTAACCTGCGGGGGCCGGCGGCTAGGTCCTAGTCACTAATTAATAACCCGCGACTAATATGATCTAGTAGACTTAGGTCGATTATCTAGAGCTAGTTAGTATACTATTGCTTATGGTATAGATTTAGGTAATGCTATATTAGCTTAATGCTACTTAATAGAGTCTATTTTTAAGTATTTATATTAGTATTACTACTATCTACCTAGCTTTAATATTTATACCTACTTTAATTATATAAGCTAGGTATTAACTATTTTTCTATACTCCGCTTACTCTATATAATAAGATATTTCTTTATTCTTATCTAATCTATATATCTATCCTTCTTCTCTATTTTACCTACCTCTAACTACTAACCTCTCTATTATCTCGCTCCTACCCCATCTAAGCCGCAAGAGCGCCATTCTTTATAATCACTATAATTACTAGTAATATTAAGCTAGACGCTACCGATAACCCCGCTACTATCTAAGGCGACTTCGTAGGCTTAGACGACGAGGGTAATATCAAGGATACCTCTAAGCTATTAGAATAATATAAATAGGGCATCTACTATCCTATCTATATCGGAGAAGTACTTGCAGATAGGTATCGCGTCGAGCATAAGCTAGGCCATAGAGGCTTCTCGACCGTCTAGATAGCATATAATATGCTTAACGACCGGGACGTCGCTCTTAAAATTATAGTACCCAGGGACTTAGGAGAGCGGGAATATAATATACAGAATGAAATTATTAGTGCTATGAAGGATACTTCCCACCTCTTGACGTACTATAAGACCTTTCTCCTCCGCGGCGCCCACGGCTCCCATAGGGTCCTTACCTTTCCCTTATAGGGCCCAAACCTACGGGACCATGCTTATCGGACTTCTACTGCCGCCCGCCGGTTAGCTACAAGACAGCTACTATAAGCTCTAAAGGCCCTACACGATGGCGGAATTATGCACCGGGGTGCGTGGCATTTGGCACTGCACTATAAGCCCCATGGAAGCTAATATATGCTATAGACCTAAACAGCGCTAACATAATATACAATCTTCGTCCTCTCTAGGCCGGCAGCATGCTAGCTATTAAGTACGAATATCTCAGGCGCCCCCTAAAGATACCCCTACCCCTACCTCGACCGCTATAGAAGGAGGGTTAGCTCGTAATGCCGATAAAGCCTTATAAGAGCCTTATAGGAGAGACTATATTACTCGGCGACTTTAGCCTAGCCGCTAAGTCTAGCACTCCGGTGGAGCAAAAGGTCTAGTCGCCTGCCATTTACTATGCTCCGGAGCGTTTATATAATACGAATCTAAGCCTTACCTCTAATATATAGAGCTATATGTGTATTTTTGCCGAGCTCTACCTAGGCTTCCCTTTATTCTATGGTAGTATATATTTTTCTGTGATCGACTTTATAGTTAAAACCCTAGGACCCCTTCCGGAATCTTAGAAGGGTTCCTATATAGGTAACGGGCAATACGATCGGTCATAGTATAATTAGGGCAAAAGGCCAGACCCTAGGCTAGCCCTTAAAGCGAAGGTTATATATACTCGAGATAACATTAGCCCGGAAGAGCAGCGGCTTATACTCTCTATATTGCAGAGAGGTCTATCATATTCGCCTACGCACCGCTAGATAGCAGGGCAGCTTCTAGAAGACGCTTCCTTTAAGGAGCTAATAGGAATATATAGACTCTAGGGTTATATAGCAATGCTTAAAAGGATATATATTAGATAGATAGGAGGTAACTCTTAGAGCCTAATAGAATTAGATTCTTATGGCGGTAATATTCCTTTCTATCACGGCGTAGTAACGATTCGTCACCACGAATCGCCTAATAGACGTCTGCGGCCCTATGCCTGGCTTAGCCTTCCTCCCTAGCAACTATCTCGATAGGCGCTAGCCCCTATCCCCACTGATATGCGACCATACCGGGCAAATAGGCAGCAAGGCATTCTAGTGATTATACATATTGTTTTTCATACGGGGGTTTAACACCCCTGTCATATTGCGTGATCCGGCTACGCTGCTACTAATAATATCTTTAAACAACCAAGGCATACGCGCCGAAAGAATAGACCCGCGAACCTAGCTGCCTACCTAGTTAACATAGGGAAGCTAGTAAGTATATAGCGACTCCGCCTCGACCTATTAATAATTATACTAAATATTAGTTCCGTGCCCTTATAAATCAGCCTAGCCAGTCTAAACTTCTCGAACCAATAGGGGCTTATCCGCCGCATACAGATAGGCCAATAGCACCATATAACCGCTAAGTTACTCTAGAAGCTTAATTTAGTCTAGATCGAATCCAGGCAAGGCCCACACGAAACTAATAACTAAAGAATTAGCCTTATTATTAGCCGATAGGGTCAAGAAGAACTAACTAAATATCAGGCAATTAAGACCTTAGATTCTTAATATGGATAGAAAATATAAGAATGGAGCGGGGCCAGGCCCAACTACCTAAGAGCGTCATCTACCTGGCCACCATCAGCCACCGCAGATAGGCGGGAGAAGCCAGTATGAGCGGCCTAAGAGGCCTAGTCGGCTCGTGTCTGGCCGTTTTCCTATACCGCCGCTGCCCTTTGCTCTGAATTATCGCGGCTCGGCTAGGCCATATCGGCGCCTCGCTTCCGCCAGTAGGTAGGATATCCAGTAGTAGCATTCCCCTAGCAGTAGCCAACCGCACCGCCCCTTCGTGCTATAGAACCCAGAGCCGCGCCTTATCATACTAAAGAATAGCCTGCAAAGCTTCCAATATAAGCTAGTATATTCTAGCCTCGGGACTAGGCCTTTTCTAGATATATCATATTAAGCCGCTTAAGACCCATCCCTAGCCCCGTCTCTATCTCTATCTCGGTCTTAGCCTTCCTCCTTCACGATATTATCGACGCTAAGGATATAGGCCGCTGCGTCTTACGGCTTACCTCTGACCTACCTTCTCTCGGTCCTACTCTACTCCTCCCTAACTATCATAATAAAACTACCGCCGCCGGAGCCTATACCTACGCCTTCAAGGCAGAAAGGGTCATAAGTTATCGCAATAGGCGCTATGGCCCGCGCCTAATATGCGACTATATACCCATATGCGGCGAGGCACTCCTCGTCGTGAACCATAAGTACGCCTTAGCCTTAAGGCAGGGGTTTAAACCTATATTACGGCAAAAGTTAATTACTCTATAACTTATAATACCTAATTCCTTAGATAACCAACGCATACATACCGAGAGTGCACCCCTAGCATATTAACTGCCTAATTAGCTCGGGGGGGTTCACTAGACCATCGGCGATCATACCCGGTATTAGTTCCACACCCTTGCGAATAAGCTAAGCCGCGTTAATAATACTCCCGCACTAGTTAATAGGGCCTATCTAGCTCGTAAATGAGCCAATAATACCGAATAACCGCCGAGCTACTTTAGAGGGTTTAGTCTGCCCAGATCGAGGGTCCTAGCTAAGGCCGGTATAAGACTAACAACACGAGAAGAGAGCACATTATAATTAGGCAATAGTAACTATAGAGGAACCAATAGTATTTCAGGCAATTAGACTACTAACATAGTAGCTAATCTAGATGCAGAGGACCTAGCGGGACCCTTTGCATTTAGGCATTCCGGTCAGTATAAGGCCGGATTCTAGCCCTAGCGTCTAAATAACATACATACACATAACCGCCCGGTGAGGTAATCTAGTATATCTACTGCCTAGCGATCCGCGAGGGGTCCATTACGTAACTAATCTACTTCGGGCCATTCTTAATAGCTCATAATATTAGCTTTGCACCTATATAGGCACATATTCATATTTACTATGCCAAGTAAGGATCTAGCTAGTCAGACCGCTCCCTTTATAATTAATCCCATCACGCTAACGGGCCAATAGTATTAAACAACCGCTCGGTTGCGGAGTAGTCGGTAGAATTAAGCCTAGGCCGTAAGAGGTGAACAAGGTAAGCGCGGATAGACTAACTGCCCCATCAAGGCATCAGCCAATTAGCTAATACGCGCGCAGGAGTTAGCATAATTCTATAGTATTAAGAGGATACTTTCTTAATATAAAACCAAGTTCGGATATACTATATGGCGCTTTAGCGTTAAGCGCCCTCTATCGGCATATGCTCCGCTATCACCTATATGGCTCATGAGATATACTGGTATTAGATCAGCCCGGGGGCTTAGGCCTAAAGTTCTAGCCGTTCCGAGAAGGAGTAAGCTTTACGGATGCATTTACCTTAGGTATATAGGTTAGATCTGCCACATATATACACGACTATGTTCATATCAGATACAGGCATAGCTACACTCGGTTTTCTTTCTATGCATTCTTCTAACTTTCCTCGTACTTTATCTCTAACCTTCTACGCCTTATCTACCTAACCCCTATTAGATATTCTTATTTTACCAAAGCTTTTATACCTAATCCTAGCCTCCCCTACGGCCCTAAGAGACTATTATTACTACCCCGCTATATAGTTATAGTATCTACCATCGGCTATCGCTTAGCCGCTACGATGCATAAGTATCTCGATCTCTTTCCTACGAAAAGGGGCATCTATTAAGATAATAACCATAGAGTTTAGAGTATTCAAATTAGTAGCAATCTCTCTTCTACTAGTAGCAAGCTTAGTTTTCTATAATAGGTCTACCGATGACCTAAATATAGGCTTATTTATACTTAGGCTCGGCTAATAGATAATAGCCTTATACTTAACAGGTTATATAACTAATAGCCCTAGACTCCCTAATATATTTCTTATCGCTATAAATACCTCTAGCATAGGAGAGCTTCGAGTTAGCTATTTCGGTAAGGCTTATCTGATTGGGAAGGCAGCCTCTGCTCCAGTGACAGAGTACTAGCCCCGAATATGCGTTTAAATGCTAAGAATGCCTAGGTTTATGCGTGCATCGAAACGGCAGCCAAAACTACGTCGCTACCCCTTATGCGGCATCTCCTCGCTCCGTCAATTCCGCCCTCTCTATTAGCCTCGAGCAGGGAGAGCGTGCCCCACTACTAGCAACCATAGCTCTATTAATTATCCTCCGGCTGCAGAGGAGTATATTCTTCTGCCTGGAGGCCTTCGCCGGTATGGCTTTTATCCTTAGCCTCCTATTATTTCTCACTAGGGTCTATATCTAGGCGAGTAAACGGGGTGGGTAGACGTGGCGTCTTATTAAGCAGTAATGGCCAGAGAAGCTCTTAATAGCTTCAATTGCTACTTCCCTCATAAGTGCGGCATCTATTATATAAGTAGCGAATACACTCGAGTTTATTATATATAAGTCAAGCATTACTTCGGTTAGTATTAGGGCTGTTATGGATCCCTTAGCTCTGGTAAGGGATAGAGGTACCGCTGAAAGCGGCAGTGAGATAGCTGACTTTGGCAGCTATCTGGTTGAAGTCATATAATTCATAAAGTATAGAGAGCAAAGAAGGCACAATGTAAGTAATCTAATCTAAGTTGATTCTTCCTAACTAATGGCTGCTGGATTTGACTGTTATAGCGCTAGATCCGTCACGTGGGGAACCCGTATGACTGGGGCATGTAACAAGGGCCGGGCAAATACTGCAAGTCCTTTAATAGCTTATATTTATATCGTCGGCTATACTATACGGTATCGTAGCTCACCGGAGCCGAAGGCTACGCGGCAGTAATACTATTAGCCCCGGGAAGACTAGCAGTATATCTAGCTAAGTACCGCCGCCGCCGCCGCCGCCTAGCCCGCCTCCTCCGCCTAGTCTGCCTCCTCCCTGACCCCCCGCTAGGTTCCTACCTCCGCCTCCGCCTCCGCCTCTGCCTCTGCCCCCACGATAATAATCTATATCTATACTCTTTACTACCTATGG